CAGATAAATTGACCTAATGACTATAGACTAAAACTTACAAGGTTATATATGTATACAAGTGGATGAGACTTTAAAAACTTAATCCTATTTACAAACCACGCGATTTAATTAACATGTTATGTGATAAGCTGACAGGACGCGGAAAGATTAACACACCGCGGTATATTTAAATGTCTAGCTTTTATTTTTTATTATACCTACATGCAGACACTAACTCATTTCGTTTGTTTAAGGTGGCCATTTTTGGCTTACAAATAATAAAGTATTTCTCCCATAAACACAAATTACACCGATTTGAAGCACAGTTATAAGGCTTAGCTCGTTTCAATAGTTTCCATTTGATTGTATAATTGATGTTTTTGTTTTTCAATTCCCACACGTATTTGCTTAGTTCGGTAGCGTTCCGTTTGTCGAAAGAGTTGAATGATGCTTTATGGTTTGCAAGTCTAGTTTTAAACGAGTTTTCTGTAAGTCCGACATATGTTTGGGGAGGTCTATTTGTTGTTTTGTCCTTAGTAGTGACTGTGGCTTGATATACAACCGATTCAGTGGTACATTTGTTAGATAGTGGGCACAGTTCTTTATTGCTTTTAGGGCAACTACACGCTGGAAATTGTAGCCAACGTAGATTTGTTGTGTCCATCGATAGTCTGCTTGATGTTTGCCATACAGCTGTAGCTAATCTTGACTGTATTACGGTTGAATATCTTGTGTAGTGGGTGATCTGCGGGGAACTATCCCCCGTCAATTATTTTCAAGAAGGTTTGTCCAACATTAGTCGAAACATTCTTACTATATGGTGGGTTATACCAAATAATTTTTCTTTTACGGCTTCGGGTACTCTTGTTATTCGATTGGTTTAGGGGGTGTTTAAACAGTAGTTTGTGGGTATAACCACTATTGTCAAGGGCTTGCTGATATGACGGGGAGGCTTGTTCGAATGAATCTTAGTGATCAGAGGATATCTCGGTTAGTCGTTTGTTAATGGATAATGGAATATTACGCAGAACACTGGGTGGGTGGTTAGACTTGCTATGCACGTATAGAGGTGTGTTATTAGGCTTAGAATATGGGTGATATTTACCGGTGGTTAGATTTAGTGTGACGTCAAGGAAATTTACGATTTTCTTGTTAGCCTCGATAGTAATTTTCAAACCATGGTTGTTGAATAAGGCGCACAGATCCTTCTTAATTAGTTCTATTTGGCGCGGTGTTGCTTTGATAATGCCCAAGCCGTCGTCTCTATATAAACCAAACTTATTACCGTGCTTCATCGTAATAAGGTGTATATAGTAGGTAAGATCCGACCAATTCACATGATTCGGCACCATCAAAACTACCCATAGTGACATCGAATAGATTAGATGATGATTTCTTTCCCCAGTGCTTGCCCGAGTTGTACAAGCACGATTTATATATATATATATATATATATATATATATATATATATATATATATATATATATATATATATATATATATATATATATATATATATATAAAACATTCCAACCGTCCCAGTTTACCCGCGACTGTCCCGGTTTGGACTATGTTGGCCCGGTGTCCCGGTTTTCTTCTTATTGTCCCGGTTTTCTTCTTATTGTCCCGGTTTCTGTAGTATTTTAATAGTTGTATTCTTTAAATAAGGCTCATGTGACAAATATTAAAGAAATTCGTTTGGTTCAATACATATTAATGAAATGGCAGCTTCTAGTTGCCCCAAACAATTCTCGTGACATGCGTTGTTTTCACAATTTAGCGTTCGCTTCCAATTCCTATTCGTTTTGCCAGGGCTACATGAAGTAAAGCAGCGTAACAGAAGCGGGTGCAATAATCGCGGGCTCTTGAATAGGAGAGGTCACGGAGAGAATCACAGTTCAAAAGACCAGTAGTAAAACGAAACAATTTCGCCAGTACAGTACTTCAATGAAATTAAAGCTTCTTGAGAAAATGTTATGTTACTTATGGGTTTCAACGTTAGTGTAATAAAACTAGTTTTTGTGGCATCCACTGTGAATTTAACAATTTATTGTTTAATTCAAACTCAACTCAGCCAATTTTAACACTAACCCAAATAGACACCGCATGAATGAGAAAAGCGCGGCATTTATTCGAGGGAGGCGTTTATTTAAGTAAAATGGGAAAATTGGGAAGTGTCCCGGTTTTGAAGACTCGGAGGTTGGAATGTCTGAAATTATATAAATATATATATATATATATATATATATATATAAATATATATATATATATATATATATATATATATATATATATATATATATATATTATATACAAAATAAAAGCCACGACCAAAAGAAATTAGAATATATAATTCAAAAATTTAAATTTTCGACTGCATGTAACGAAGGCTGTTACATGCAGTCGAAAATTTAAATTTTTGAATTATATATTCTAATTTCTTTTGGTCGTGGCTTTTATTTTGTATATAATATTATTAATGTTTAAAAGGCCGAGGCAGATTTCGTTCCTTGTCACTCATTATATATATATATATATATATATATATATATATATATATATATATATATATATATATATATATATATATATATATATATAATTAGGTTTCGTTGTTTACAAAAACATTTGGCAGAGTGCTCAATGGATATCCAGAACATAATTAAATAAGTGCAACGACTCAACAAATTCCACCAGGCATTTTTATTACTATTATTATACATTTAATATGTATTCTCGTTTCTAATTGGTCAGAAAGCACCGGCTAATTTTCAGTATTCGGCATTTATTACGTATTTTCCGCCGATGACGTCATCAGCGTCCAATAATTGTTTTTTTGGATCGAACTTGCATCCAAAAAAAAATTATTGGACTCTCTCGTGCCCAAACCCTTGCGCGGCCAAAAACTTGAACCTATAAGCGCGCGAAAAAAACAAACAAACAATGGCCTACAGCAGATTTGCTTCGCTTAATGAAAGTGAACTCTCCAAATTATTGGCAGATAAGGATAGTGAAAGCACGAAAAAAGCCACAATGGGGTAAATAGAAGTAGAAATATAATATTTAGCTGACCTTAATTTGACTTTGTGCAAGGTGTTTGATATTCAAATTGTACTTTTCCTACCTCATGAACAGGAATCGTTTTATACTTTTCTCATGTCTTTAAATGTATATCTAAATGTATATTTAAATCTATGTTATCCGCCTCAGCTTCGCTTCGGCAGATAACATTGACCTCGGTCTGAATAATTCTTGATATCATGCTCAGCCTCATCCAATAATTGCTTATTAGTTTCGTACCACAAGGTGGCACTCATCAGATGAATTAGCCTTATGACTACAACAAAAAAACGAAACGGCAATTTAATGGGATTATTTAGAGACAACGAGTGATTTTCCAGAGCAGTCAAATATTCACGTTGCCGTCGATTCATGTCAAGACAGGGTTTTAAGTGAAAGTTTATCGTTGATATATACATATTTCTACTCAAGTTGTCGACTACATTTTACATGATAATAAGCGGAAAGTGCAGTGATTTAGTCAAAACTATAACACGAAAAGGAACGAGCGAAAATTGTCAATATATATTCAACTGTTGACATATCTGTGACTGTGGTAATATACTATTTATACTTCTTGTCTTGTAATATTGTTTTAATACGCTTGTATGGAAGGAAAATCGTTAATAAAAGTTTTCTTATTGCGGAATACACTGTTCAATTTATCCTTTGGCCTTGGACAAAGACAAAGTTTTCAAACTTGAGTGTCTCAGATGTGGCAGAAATTTATTAAATAGCAAACGCTTTCTTAATTAAATCAATAGCCCTGTTTAACTTTTAATATATGGGTGTGAGGTGCCTAGACATAAGGGAAAGGACAACTGGAATTTAATAGGAATCTAATAGATTTTCAAGTGACGGTTTATGTAGTGCAACAGAATATAAAGACCTGTCTTAATACAACATTTGGCTTGGATTTGTTAACCAGTGGAGGCATTACATTCTATTTTGCTTGCCAAGTTCACAGGCAAAATATCTGCATGGATAAAATCCATTTTGCAAGGCAAATTTCCCTGTAACAATCAGTCACTGAGGAAACACCCCAGTGATAGCTAGTGTTTTGCTATTGTTATATTACACAGCAACCACCCTTGTAATAGCCTTCCAATGGTGGCTATATATATTAACTGTAAGCTGTGACAAGTTTACAACAATGAATACATTTGGTAAGCTTTAGATTAACTCTGCACTCTCCCACTGAAAAGTAAAATTGTCTGATGCATGTTAGACAGAGTAAAAGCAGGCATGCCCCTGCCAGGGATGAGACAAAGAGCTAGGGCTTGTTGTGTGTATAGGGGCATTATTGGGTCTTACGTGATATACATGCCAATCAAGAGTTACTATATTTTAAAGCAATATATGTCAAGAGCAATTTTATTTGAGCATGAACAAGGAAGATACATA